TCAGTTTTCTATAAATTTTAGAGATAAGTCCCTTGTCAGTTATGTTGTTGCCAAATATATGTTTTTCCCAATCTGTAGGTTCTCCTTTTATTCGTTTGGAGAAGTCTTTTGAAGAACATACAAATTTAGTTTTTAGAAAGTCTCATTCATCTAGTTTATCTTCTGCTGCATTTTGGGTTATGCTTGACAGTCTTTTTATGCCATAAATGAGGGCCCATAAAATTTCCCCTATTTTTCTTTGAGGAACTTTATAGCTTTAGGTTTTACATTTAAGTCTTTGATCCATCTGGAGTTCATTTTTGTGTATGGTGTGAGGTACAGATCTTGTTTCATCTTTCTGCAAATGAATAACCATTTTTGCCAGCACCACTTGTTAAACAAACATTCTCTTCCCCATGTAATGGATTTCAGCCCTTTGTCAAAAATCAGCTGATCATAGGTTGATGGATCTATTTCTCGGTTCTCAGTTCTGCCCCACAGGTCTATGTGTCTGTTATTGTGCAAATACCAGGCTGTTTTGACTATTGTGGCTGTATAGTGGGTTTTGAGTTCTGGGAGTATGAAACCTCCTACTTTGTTCTTCTTCAATATTGCTTTGCTTATCTGAGATCTCTTTCCTTTCCATATAAAATTAGTAATTGTTTTTTCCATATCCTTAAAGGATGTTGATGGGATCTGGATTAGGATTACATTGAACGTACAGATTGCTTTGGACAGAACTGACATTTTCACAATGTTCAATCTTCCTATCCATGAACATGGTATTTCCTTTCATTTATGTAGATCTCTTATGGTTTCTTGAAGTAGTCCCTTTTAGTTTTCTTTGTGCAGGTCTTTTGTGTGCCTAGTGAGATTTATTCCCAAGTATTTTATTTAAAAAAAAAAAAAAAAGTATTATTTTTTTTAAAATTGTGATTTGGGAGAAAGTGTACAGAACAAATTCCTTTTCCATTCAATAATACATACATATTTTGTTTCATGACATTGACTGCAATCCCCATAATGTAACAACTCTCTTGCCAGTTCCTCTCTGTGGTCACCTTTTCCCTGTGTCCTTCTCTCTTGTGCATTCCTGCCCTCTGAGCTATCTCTGTGTGTAAATGCTTCCATTCTGATCTCCATGGTTGATTGTTTAAGTAATTTTTTTTTACAATTCAAATAAGCAAATTTTACTTAAACATATTGTGGTGGCCTGATTACTTCCTAAATTCCTTTTGGATAAAAATCAGGATTGACACAAAACTGATTACTATGAGGAGGAGGTCAGACATACCTCCTTTCTGCCAATTCTTCAAATTTCTGACACAAGCCATTTTTCCCCTCACCGTCCCCATGCTACTCTACTTCTTTGCTGGGTTTTAGGGAGCTCTGGTAGCATAGTGGCTAAGACACTTGCCTGCTAACCAGATGGCTGGCAGTTCAAACCCACCAGCCACTCCTCGGGAGGAAGGTTGGGCAATCCTACTTCCGTAGTGATACTGCCTCGGAAACCCAAGGAGGGGTCGCTATGAGTTGGGTTTGACTCGACGGCACATAACAACAACAACAATAATTTGTTGCAATAGCCACATAGAACTCACAGACCGTGTTCACAGTTACGTGGTTTATAAGAAAGTAACAGGAAACAACTTGGGATCAGGATCAGGATGTACTAGGTGGGGTTTGCAAGCCTCCCCTAAAGCGGAGAGCACATCTCTCCCTTCTTCAATACAGGACAACTTTCTTATCTTTTCTCAGCAATGCAAACAGGAAGACCCTACTCTCAACTGTACAGGCCTTTCTATCAGCTATGCTAGCCTCCTCTTGACCATGCATTCTCCCTCTCATCCATTCAGGCCCCTTCTCAGACATTCATGCCATTCTCAGCTGAGCTAGCTTACTCTTGGCCATGCAAGTCCTTCTGTCTTTGGCCTCCCAACCATCAGCCTCTGTACTAGCCCAGTTCATAGTCAATGGAGCAGCTTGCTCAGATCTCTTAGCTGTTTTCTTAGCAGCAGCTTTCTACTGGTACCACTGACTCTGTCACAGGTCCTCTCCCAGATGTGTCATCACCAGCTCTGATGAAGGATTCCTTCTGGGCATGCTCTGTCTTCAGTGGTACAGCTCTTGACTTGAATTATAACTCTTTTAGGAAGTTTCTCACCTTCTCTCTCTCTTTTTCCTTCCTTTTCTTTAACAAACCTCTTTGGGGTTAGCTGCTTATGTAAGCAAACCCCTTGTCAATTTCAAGGCATAGCCCTTTCAGCAGGACCACAAACTGACCAATTTCCACCCACGAATATATATAGATTTGACAGAGGATATTTCTAAATATGTTTACAAATATGTTGCAAATCCATGAATATATTAGAATACACATGGGGCAAAGTTATGAAAACTTCTTAGCCAAAACCAAACACCTTGAGGGAATGAGTCACTTCCAATTTCTGGAAGTTCCCTGTCAATACACTGCTGCAACTGTTTTTGAATTATCTTGAGCAAAATTTTACTTGTGTGTGATATTAATAATATTGTTTAATAATTTCCACAAATATTGATCTTGTCCAGTCAGTTGGCCAGGTAGTTGTCTCCCACATTTCCTGGCATAAATGAGTAAGCACCTCTAGTGCTGTACCTGTTTGTTGAAACATCTCAGTGAATATTCTATTAATTTCTGGAGTCTTGTTTTTCTCCAATTCCTTCAGTGCAGTTTGGATTTCTTCCTTCAGTACCATTGGTTCTTTATCATATGCTATCTCCTGAAATGGTTGAATATTGACCAATTCTTCTTGGTACAATCACTCTTGAGTATTCCTTCCTTTCTCTTTTGATGCTTCCTGCACTGTTCAATATTTTGACCATAGAATTCTTCAATATTGCAAGTTGAAGTTTGAAATTTTTCTTTATTCTTTCAGCTTGAGAAATGTTGAGTGTGTTCTTCCCCTCTCATTTTCTAATTCTAGATGTCTGTACATTTCATTATAACATTTTAGTTTGTCTTCTCAATCCACACTTTGAAATTTCATTCAGCTCTTTTATTTCATCATTTTTTCCATTCACTTTAGTTACTCTGAACTTAGAGCAAGTTTCAGAGTTTCTTCTGATATTCATTTTTATCTTTTCTTCCTTTCCTGTCTTTTTTAATGACCTTTTGTTTTTCTTCATGTATGAAGTTTTTGATGTTATCTCACAACTCTTCTGATCATTGGTAACTAGTGTTCAAGGTCTCAAATCTATTCCTCGGATGGTCTCAAATCTATTCCTCGGTTAGTCTCTAAATTCAGGTGCAATATACTCAAGTTCATATTTTAGCATGACTCCAAATGAGAACGAAGAGTTTCAAATATTCATTAATAGTAGGAATGTGAAATGTATGAAGTATGAATCTAAGAAAGTTGGAAGTTGTCAAAGAGGTAATGGAGCACATAAAGATTGACATCCTTGGCATTAGTGAGCTGAAATGGATGGGAATTAGCTATTTTGAATCAGATAAGCATATGTTTTACTATGTCTGGAATGCCAAATGAAGAGGAATGATGTTGAATTTATATCTCAAAAAGAACATTTGAAGATCTATCTTGAAGTAAAATGCTGTTAGTGATAGGATAATAACCATATGCTTACAAGGAAGATCAGTTAATACTATTATTATTCAAATTTACACATCAACTACTAAAACCAAAGATGAAGAAATTGCAGATTTTTATCAGCTTCTACAGTCTGAAATTGACCAAACATGGAATCAAGATGTATGGATAAAAACAAGTGATTGGAATGCAAAAGTTGGAAACAAAGAAGCATTAGTAGTTTGAAAATATGGCCCTGGTGCTAGACTAGAGACCACATGATAGAATTTCTCAATGCCAACAACTTACTCATTCCAAATACCTTTTTTCAATGACATAAACAGAGACTATACATGTAGAACTCTCCAGATGAAATACACAGGAATCAAATAGACTACATCTGTGAATGAGGCAATGGAGAAGTTCAATATCATCAGTCAAAACAAGGCCAGGAGCTGACTGTGAAATAGACCATCAATTGGTCATATGCAAGTTCAAGTTGAAACTGAAGAAAATTAAAACAAGTCCATGAGAGCAATAATATGGACTTGATTATATCCCACATAATTATATCTCACCCATGGTTTTAGAAGGTGTGTAAAACAAATCAAAAGAACAGTCCATGCTTCCTGATCTGCAGTAAATATTCACACCATCTTTGTACTTAGTTAAATCTCTACTCAATCATGGATCCATATTATGTATGTCTTAGGCTTTTACACCCTAATATTTATCGATCTGTTTCTAAAGCAAGGGAGATGTCCCTAATGTTTAAGCTTATAGTGAAATGTAGAAAATAGACAATGCAGGTGATGATCCATACATATGGAAGCAATATGAATGCATTTTGAATCATATTATATTTGCAATACATTTATTGAAAGAAAATTAAATTATTTTTCATGAAAGTGAAATTATTATCTCCAATAAAGGATCAAAAAAAAAAAAAAAAAAAAGAAGATGGCCTTGATGAAGTAAGACTATGATAAAATGTAGGGTGTCCTGGTGGTTGAGCAAGAGGAAATTTTGTGATTTGTTCATAGCTGGAAGAGGTTTAAAGGAACTTGTGTAGGAAGTGTGATGAATACAATACAAATCTTGTTTTTAATCACATTTGTTTGGAGGATACCAATTAAAGAAGCACTGTTGTAGGAGGGAATTAGAAAAATTTGGTGTCAGTCATTCTTTTACAGAGTTGTGAACATTGCTGCTTGTTCTGGCCACTGAACACATGACATTTGGTAAGAATAAAGAAGGGATACAATGGCTCTACTTGAAATTTCAGAAGACAGTACTTACTAATAGGATAAATTTCCATACACATCAGGATGGTTAATGATGAGATATAGGACATCTTTCCTTGGAGATTTTGGACACTCATTTAGAAGCATAGAAGTTTCAGTACTTATTGTAAGTTTGCACGTGGCTTTCCAAGAGGCAGGATTTTTATGACTTTTACACTTTTGAGGATTTTATCCTTCCCTGAGATTGTAGGATCTTCTTCAGTGCCTGCTTCACATCCTTGTTTCTCAATGTGTAGATGAGTGGATTCAACAGAGGAGTGATAACACAATAGAAGAAGGACATGAATTTGGCTTGGGATCTGTTGGCTAGGGGTTGGAGGTACATGTAGATGGATGGTCCATAGAACATCACGATGACAACCAAGTGGGAGCTGCAAGTGCTGAAAACTTTGCACCTTCCTTCAGCTGAAGATAACTTCAGCACTGCCCTGACAATGTAGGTATAGGAAATCAATACAAAAAATGGAGCCACAAGTACAAAAGGGATGGCTCCCATGGCTAAAGACAAGTCATTAGCAGTGGTGTCTTCACAGGCCAGCTTGATCAGAACAGGCATCTCACAGAAGAAGTGGTCTAGGGTGTGGTGATCACAACATTGAAGTTGGAGGGTGAGGGTAGCTTGGAGTAGAGAATTGGCTAAGCCACTGGACCAGGCTGCAGCTGCCAGCTGCACACACAGCTGGGGACACATGATGAGGGTATACTGGAGTGGCTGGCAGATAGCTACATAACGATCAAAGGCCATCACTGCCAGCAGGGCACATTCAGTGCATCCTGTCCAGTGGAAAAGGTAGGCCTGTGTGATGCAGCCCCAGTAAGCAATTGTCTTTTTTGGTCCCCAGAGGTTGGATAGCAGCTGGGGCACAATGGTGGTGGTGGCACAGAGGTCCAGTACAGAAAGATTGTCTAGGAAGAAGTACATAGGAGTCTGGAGTCTGGGATCCATCAGAGTGATAAGGATGATGAAGCTGTTTCCTATCAGTGTCAGGATGTATATCACTAGCACCACCCCAAAGAGGTGTATCTCAAGCCATGGATGATCTGAGAAGCCCAACAAGACAAATACATTTGGGAAACTCATATTTTCTCCTTCCATGATCTGTCTTATGTCTAGCTGCAATGAAAGATATAAGGTGTAGATGACAAGCCTGATTTTTTTGTTTCAATCATCCCATATCAACTTCCCAAACCTTCAATGTGTTGGCATGATAATTCTCAAAATCATTACAATAAGTTTCAAAAGTAGGAGACAGATTTATATAAACTCTGCCCTAGGTGTTGTCATTGGACTAGGGCTAGATCTGGGCTATTCTAGATATGAAGAGATCCTCTATATGGATCCCAGTCATTTAAAAATCTGTTTCATATGAAGCCCTGCATGTCTCTTTTTCTTATTTATATCTCTCCCTCTTTCCTGTCTCCTTCTCCTTTATCTACCTGGCTTCTTAAATCTGTTTGCCAAATCATGGATTGTTAAGCATGGAGGATATGGAATGTTTTCTTTCATTTAGGGCTCCATGTCTTTATACTTGATGAAGTAATTTAAATTCTCTTTCAATTTCCTCTTTTACAAATTAAGGATAAAGAGGCCTTATTTTATATAAACCCACCAGCCACTCCTTGAAAGGAAGGTTGGGCAATCTACTTCCATAGTGATACCGCCTCAGAAACCCAAGGACGGGTCGCTATGAGTCAGATAGAATCCTTGGCAGTGGTTACATTTTTTGATCTAATATAAATTTGTAAGATTATTTTGAAGTTTTAAATTAACTGAATACCTATCTATCTATATGTCATGTATCACATGATGAGCTCTCTGTGTTAAGAAATACCCAATCAAATCAAACCTGTTACTATTGAGTAGATTCTGGGTCGTAGAATCCTTGTAGGACAGGTTAGAACTGCCCCATAGGGTTTCCAAGCCTATAAATTTTTTTTGGAAACAGAATACCACATCTTTCTGTTGCAAGAGAATGGTGGGTTTGAACCTCTAACCTTTTGGTTAGCAGCTGAATGCTTAACCACTGCCACCAGGCTCCCATATGTTAGCTACTGTTATCTATATTTAATCAAACTCTACCTAGTTATTCCTCTCTCTCTCTCTCCTTCATTCTCTCCTCTCCTCTTTCTCTTCATTCCATTCACTCATAAAAATATATTGCCCTCATATCATAATGAAAGTCATGGAGTTCTTTGCATCTGGCACATCTCTGTTAAAAAGAGTTAAGAGAAACGTTACTCAATGTTTCCTTTCAGTCCTGGTTGTTGTTGTTGTTGTTGTTATGTGCCGTCGAGTCGGCCCCGACTCATAACGACCCCTCCTTGGGTTTCCGAGGCAGTATCACTACGGATAGGTGAAGGATATTTCTATGCTCACATGGAGGTTGTCAGGGCTATTACAGCAATGTGAAGATATCTGTGGAAAAGAGACCAGCAAATGTTAGACTATTTTATGCAGTCTTGTCCTATTTGTATTTCATGTAACTCCCATCTTCCTGGTATTCAATGCTGCGTTTTTCTCCTTACTCATTTATTTTATTCTTTTATCTCTTTCTCAGTTATTTCACTGCCCTTTGCCTTTTTTTCCCATATTTTATTTTCCTGAGTGTTTCTTCATATTCTTGAAATAGTATTATTTCTTATGTGTATGCTCTGGATTTTCAAGATGTATAAATTTCAAATCTTAAATTTCCTACCTTGTACAGGAGATTTCTTTCTTAGTTCCTTCCTCATCAATATAAGAAACTTGTTGTTGTTGTTATGTGCTGTCAAGTCGGACCCGACTCATAGCAACCCCTCTTTGGGTTTCCGAGGCAGTATCACTACAAAAGTAGATTGCCCCATCTTCTGAAATTTAACTCACCACCACTTAATGAGCTTTTTCTGCTTAGTAAAATTATCATTTTCCTACCATTCCATTTGGAATTATCTCCTGAATAAACAAGAAATACAGTTGTGCTATAATTTAAAAGCCCTGAGTACTTGAGTATATTTTCCTTATTAATCTGTGATTCTCATATTATCCAATTTTTATTTTATATTGCAAAATATTATTATGGTGTCTTATAATAAAAGAACTGTCACATAATTCTAAATGCTATAGTTTTATGGATATTTATCAAACTAGAGCCTTTTTAGGAAAAAAAAATATTGACTCTTTTGAAAGATGTCTAGTTCAGAGGAACGATTTTGGATAGGTGATACGTTTCCCTTTCCAGAAATCAAAAGCAAGTGAATGGTCTTTTTGTTACAATCTTAATTCATCTTCTTTTAATTACTGTTCCACATTTTATATTTAAAAAAGAAATGTCTATGTACCCAAGCTTCAGTTTTCAGTATTAGTGAAGGACATTAAAACTACAAAAAACACTGCATGATTTTACTATTTTTTTCATTTTCCCAGTGCCAGCTTTTATTCTAGATATGATGATTTTTGTTCTTCTACCTCTTGAACTACTGGGTCATAGTTGAGATAGAGGGTACCCCCTCATCTCTATACATAACTTTTTCATTTAACAACTAACGGACTAAATAGATTAACTAAATATAAGGTTGTTTTTTAAATTTATTTGCTTCATATACATTTGTGGAGGACAAACATTTTGTAGACATTAATTGAGACAGTGTCCCAAAGTAATTTTTACTTCCTATGTTTGTTGTTGTTGTTATGTGCCATCAAGTGAGACTTGACTCATAGTGACCCTTCGTTGGGTTTTCAAGGCAGTATCACTACGGAAGTAGATTGCTCCATCTTCCTTCCGAGGAGTGGCTGGTGGATTTGAAGCGCCAGCCTTCTGGCTAGCAGTCAAGTGCCTTGGGCACTATGCTACCAGAGCTTGCTTGGTAATTTTCTATAGACATAACTAGACAAAGTTTTATACACATGATCAATGTTGCTATATGACAATAGTCCCATTTTACCAATTGTTTGATATTCCCCATGTTCCTCTGGTTTTCTACTGGACAATTATTCTCATTCAACCAGTAGGTTGACTTTTTCTAAATAACTTACTAAGCAATTTTATTGCATTATTTCCTTATTCTTTATTCATTCTTCTACTCTCCTAATGTTATTCTTTTGTGTTGTATTATACACCACAAAGTCTGGCTATTTTGTGGTGTATAATAAAAGATAAAAATATTTTCATATGCCCCAAATATTATCCCACAAATGAGAAGTGTGTACAAGATATACATGGCCTAGATTCATAAAATAAATACCATGTTCTTGGAAAAATAATTTCTGCTAGCCCTAAAGAAAAGGTGCTAAAGTTTTGGAAAAATGTTAAAAACAATATCAATTTTACTTATGTTTGAAGTGAAAGAATAGACAAGGAACAGAATTTTCATTAAATTCAGTGAACCTTTTTCAGAAAAGAGAGCACTTTTAAACTGGAAGAGTTCCCAGAGGACATTTCAGTGCAATATTGCTAAACAACTAAGAATGAGCACTTTACATTTTGACATACACATAATTCTTTAGACTCCTGGAAGCTACCACACAGTATGTTTAATTAACTTGCAAATGTATGCACTCATGGGTAGGTCTGGAGTATTCGAAGAACTATCACCAGGTAACAGGGGCAAACCTTATGAGAGTTTTGTAAAGGAGGGACATCTTAATCCTGGAATTAAATATCATTGAGTTTGATAATCCACCTTGGAAAAACACTGATAACATTGTTAAATAGTTTGTCAACACTCTGAGGAAGTGTGATCAGTAGAAGCAAATCTAAATCAGTTATACTGAAATACAAAAAAAATGGCATATTTTGGGAAATGAGGCTTTGCAGGTTGTTAAGGTTGTTAATGGTGAGTGAGTGCTGCATATATCGAGTGGAGGGAGAGGAGTGCTCATTTCCCATTTGGAGGGAACATATCTGCATCCATGTTTGGCCAGTCCTGGGAACAATGATTTTGAGAACTTTGGGAGATGGATGTCAGAGTCTTCAATCTCAGTCTTCTTTCATGTAAGTGCAAGAAATAATGTTTATCCTCAGCATTTAGAAGGGATTAAGTGCCTCAAAAGTGTGTGTATAAGAGTTTGCTACACAGACTGGTCAATAGAGTACATATTGAAATTGACAATTTTGAGAATTATCAAAAGAATTATCTTTCTAAAATAATAATAATAATAATAATAAAAACACATACCAACACACAAGGAACAGTGTGGCCACAGTCCAAATCCTATTTGCTACACTAGACAACTATAGTGTACTTGACAATTTAGTTAGCTTGCAAGTGAACATTCATTTCTTCACATCTACATTGAGAATCATCATACTTAATACAATCATTGCTATAATAACTAGGTGATAAATAAATGGTTGGCATATGTAGTCACTGTAGATAAAACTGACACATTGAAATATTAGGAAACCTAAAAAGGAAAGCAGAGATATAGCATGATAAACTCAGAATTTGCACTCAAGCTCTGATCCTAAATCATTAACTCCAGTTATCAATAAAAGAAATAAAATATAAATGATGCAATGCTGGCAGGGATAGTTAATCCACATTAGCTCAATAGGCAGGAGGCTGATTTTGAATAAAAAAGATAGTAGTTAATTGCAAGACCAGCACTTTTTTCATACAATTATGGTAGGAAAAGTTTTTTTGGAAATTGTACCTGTTATACTGTTCTGGAGGTTTTCTTTGATCATAACCTTAAAATAAATAGTTCAATAGATAAATTATTGTGGTGTCTAATGGATTCTTTGTCTTCCTTAATAGAAAAAAAAGCCAAAAGTACAATGCATCTGGTGTTGCTAGACCAAATCTGATTCTTTGTTTAGGAAATATTTTTAAGTTGGGTTATTGATCTACTGGAATGCTTGTTGGGGGATTATATTGGAATCTGAAAAAGTGGTATTGAAGAATACCTTTGAAGGATTTTCTACTATTGGAATGACAATAGTTCAAAGGAATAATATTCCCTAAATAGGTTATCATTTGGAAGAGAAGAAAATATACTCTGAGTGCTTTAAATGGGAAACCTGCACCAAATATGGACAAATTCTAGAGAAGCCAGTTTTAGATAAATAAAAGAATTTTCTCTCTGCAAGAATATTATAGGAAGTTATTTGATTGTCT